ATCATTCACTTTGCCTGGGGAGCCGAGTTTTATTTGGCCAATCAGGGTGGATTTGCACAGGCTCTGACTTAATGGGGGGATTTACCGCTCATCTAATGGATGAAGTGGTAAAATGAGGGCCTGGATTTGGCATGACATAACAGCGCGGGGCTCCTCCGACCGGAGTCTCAGAGTCTTTGATCGCAGCTGTAGGGAGTGAGGAACGCGTTCTGGGCTTTGATCAGACAAACGAGCGGAGGATGCGATATCCGTGCTGAAACGGCGAGAACAGAGCTGTCGTTGTGCGGCCTCGGGGCTGAGAGGAGACGCTGCGATGCGTCCTCTCTGTGTAACAACCACCTCTGAGCGGAGAGGCAGGTGGAGACACGCTCCTGACAGAAGCTCTACGGGCTGAAGCAGTAGTCAGGGGGAAACACACAGGGAGTAGGGTTAGGGTTAGGGGTTAGGGGGTAGGGTTAGGGGTTAGGGGTTTAGGGTTAGGGCTAGGGGTTAGTGTTAGAGTTCGGGGTTAGAGTTAGAGTTAGAGTTAGGGGTTTAGGGTTACGGGGTAGGAGTTAAGAGGTAGGGGGTAGGGGTAGGGGTAGGGTTAGGGGTTAGGGGTTAGGGGTAGGGGATAGGGGAAGGGTTAGGGGTTTGGGTTAAAGTTAGAGTTAAGGGTTAGGGGTTAGAGGTTAAAGTTAGGGGTTAGAGTTAGGGGTTTAGGGTTAGGGGGTAGGAGTTAAGAGGTAGGGGTTAGGAGGTAGGGGTTAGTGGTTAGGGTTAGGGGGTAGGGGAAGGGTTAGGGGTTAGGCTTAGCGGGTAGTGGAAGGGTTAGGGTTAGGGTTGGGGTTAGGGGTTTAAGGTTTGGGGTTAGAGTTAGAGATAGATCTTAGTTAGAGTTAGGGGTTTAGGGTTAGGGGGTAGGGTTGGGGGTTAGAGTAGGGGGTAGGGTTTAGGGTTGGGGTTGGGGTTAGGGTTAGGGTTAGGTCACTCACATGTAGCCTCCGTGGTCCTGCGGCTGTAGGTGCGGCGAGCGCGATACCTGACGACCAGCTCTCCGCTCTCCATCATGGGCTCAAATGCCTCTCTACAAACACACAAACACACAAACACAACACAAAAAAACACACAGGTCAGTCCAGATGATAGATAGATAGATAGATAGA